TAACAGGATCTAAAAATTAAACAAAAACATCTAAAGACTAAAATTATTAAAAATAAAAAATTTACAAGTGGAGTTTGAATATAAACTTCATCATTTCACCTATTTAAATTTAAAATTTAAAATTTATTATAATAAAAATTTTAAAAAATAATTACATTTAATTTTTTTATTACAATAAAAATAATCACATTTAACTTTTTAAATTAAAAACGCTGCAAACCAAAAACACCTCACGGTTACCATGTCCTTCTCTACCACCTTATGAATCTTCTTAACTAAACCTTGCCCTCTCATAGCCCTAACACTACTGAACACAGATCACCCCCAATCTTCCTCCACATTCAGAAGCCTAACCCTTCAAAACCCTAACATTAGAATCCCCAAATCTTCAAAACCTGGAACCCCATCGGAGCACTCTGTCGAGTGCGACCAAAACGACGACGTAACAGAGGGATTTTTCGTTGAAAATCCTTGACCCAAAAACGTTTCGGGGAATGGGTCAGCGGGATTTTGGCCGGAATCAGGCGGAGCAACGTCGGGAGGCCAGATTGGATGAGAATTGGGGGCGGATGAGCCGGTTATTTTACAGATCTGAGTATTTTATTTTAAATTTGAGCTTTTGGGTCTATCTCTGAAGGAAGGAAAATTGTTTCAAATTTGAGCTTTTGGGTCTATCTCTGAAGGAAGGAAAATTGTTTCCCGATCTTGGTGGTGTTGTTGTTTTCTTTGTCCTTCGATTTTGCGGCTGAAAAAGTCTATGAGATGGCTATGCTGACGAAGAGGAGATGGAGAAGCTTTCCAACTTCTTGTGTGGAGAGTCAGGTTGATGGAATGTGGTGCTAGTGAAGGGAAAAGTGGGAAGTTATGGGAAATTATCAAGATTAGAGGAGATTATAGTGGAACTTTGTTGGGTTGTCTCGGTTTTTTTACTCGGAAAGTAATTGCTTTCTGTTGGGATTTGTCGTGGGAGTTTACTGTATTTGATTTAATATTTTTAATTGGTTTCAATTAGGTAACGCTGGTATTTCACTACTAATTTTACTTTTTAATTTCAATTTTATTATAATTAAAAAAATTATCAAAAGTTAAATTTAATTTTTTTATTATAATTAAAAATTTTCACATAAATTAAACCAGACTTAAGTTATCTTCTATTAACTTTTAATATTCATTTTTTATTACCACGCATGTATTTTACGTCTAGGTGATACATGAAAGTGGATGGATGGGGTAGTTTGACATGTTTTTATTAGATAAAGGGTATTTTGAATTGTTTTAAAAAAATCAGGAGACGTTTTAAAATAATATACATAATTCAAAGGTATTTATGAAAATAGGTATCGTTCATTTTATTGATTTGAGAGTTTTTTACTGTAGTAGAAAAAGTTATATGTGATTTTTAGTGAGAGTTTTTAACTATAGCAAAATCGAATCGGTGAAATGAATGAGATCATAATCATTCTTTTAATTTTAACAAAACAATCCTTGAATTATATAAGGGCCCGTTTAGTTCGCTGATTCGACTTTTTAATTCGAGTTGAGATGTGACTTTATGTAAAAAAATTTTTATTGTAATAAAAAAGTTAGATGTGACTGTTTCTGAGAACTTTCTACTATAGCAAAACTCAAATCGGTGAAATGAACATGGCCTTGATTTTAAAAATAAAAGTCAGTTTTTTTACCCTCGAATCTACAACTAATGCATTTAGGTTATGCAGCTTCTCTTTCTTATTCAAATCAAGAGCACCAGATTGCACACAATTTATTAATTTTCCTCCAAACATCACTATTAAATCAAAATCCAAGACAATCCCATCCTCTTTTTTCCTCTCAATCTTTCCTTTCAGCCTTTGCCACCTGAATGTCGACTTGAAGAAATTCCACTTGATTGTCGATTTAAGGACCATCACCACCACTATATCGGCCGCTACCGCCTTAAGCGTAGTCCAGGAACTACTCTCCCGTCGAGCCCACTCTCGAGGTGCGTTGTTTCAACCAATCTCAAGCAACGTCGCCTCAAATTCTGCCCCAACCATCTCTGTCGAGCCGACGCAATCCACCTCCCAGATTTTTCGTCGAGCTTCTTCCGTAGTCCACCACCATAAATCACCCATACACCCCTCTTAAGGAGATCCTCACTAAAAGCATTATCTATGACATTCTAATTTCACGAGGTTTGTTAATTTGCACCTAAACTCAAAAAAAAAAAAAAAAAATTTGAACTCAAGTTACAATTTTATTTAATTTCATATTCTTTTATAAAATTTGAGTTTGAACTTGAGTTTGAGACTAAAATCTGAGTTCAAATTCCCCCTTCAACTCAAGTTACTAAACTCAAACTCAAGTTAATGAACAATATTTTTTTTATTCTTAAAAACGTCATAACTTTTTCGTTTTAATTTCGATTGAGATGATTTTTTTTCTAAGCATTCACAACGAAGAGACGAATAAAATCTCAACTATATACCCTGTTAAAAATTTCCATCACCATTGAGTTTTTATTAAAATACTATCCAAATGCAAATTCAATTTTTGACCAACTCAAACACAAACTCAACTAGATTCTCAATTTAAACCATAACTCAAAATGTACACATCCAAACACAAACTCAAATTAGAATCCCAACTCAAATCATACTCAAATACATCTTAACTGAAATTAAGATATGAACTCAAGTCACCTTAATTTAAAAAATACAAATGAACAAGCCTATGGTGTTTCGAAATCTGCATTTTTTTGGAGGATTTTTTTAGTTTTTATTTTTGTTATATCGTAGATTATTGTTATTTTACCAAACTACCCTTCCACATTGGATCAATTGCTTTGACGTGATAGGTTATGTGAAAAACTTAACGGATTGTAACAAAGGTCCTTAACTTGTCAATCTTTAAAGAATTGAGGGGTCATTTTGTTAAAATCAAAAGAAAGAGGACCAAAGTGTAACCTATTTAATAATTAAGGGATGATTGGTGTAAATTACTGTTTTTTTTAATGTTAAATATATTTTTCACCGTTGAATTTTGAAAGTTGTAAAAGTAAATTTCAATTTTAAAATTGTGATGATTTAATGAAAAAGTGAACAATTTAACAAATAACAATCAAATATCAAAATTTGACATATGTTATGTTTGGTGGCAAATTCGTCACTAAGTATAGCATAACCAAATTTAGCACCAAGAATATTATTGTGTTATGTAATGAATTTGTACTCAAATGTTATATGTTGACGTTGAATGGTAGATGCTCTTATTATAGTGTGTATTTAGTAACTTGTTCTTTTGGCGCAAGGTATCGATATAATTTTCTAATAGTAAAACTATAATCAAAATTACAACAAGCAAAGAAAGGGAATGTCTATATTAAATGGCATAAATTTTCTCTATTAATAAGAAAAAGGCATCATATTTGAATCACACAATATAAAAGATGTAGGAGCACAAAATAAATCCTACAATACTAGATTTAGCTAATTTAAAAACGAAAGAGAAAAGAAAAAAAAAATGATGGAGGTCCGTCACTAATAAAGAGCCCTTAAGGTGTAGAGTTTCGCGTTGCCTTGGAGAGGAGAGGTTGGGTTCAAGGAGGCCGGCATAGCTCGCTCGAGACGAGAGTTTCGTCGGTAGAGTTCACGAGGGAGCACGGCCGGCGTTTATCGGATAAGAGAGAGAGAGAGAGAGAGAGGGAGCACATCGGCTGGTAGAGAGAAGAGAGATCAAGATTTCTTCATATGGAGGTCGTGAACTTGGTGGGGCACTGCCGGTGTTCGTCACGAAGAGAGAGATGAAATAGGACAGAGAAGAAAAACCCATCGCGCTGGCATGGGGGAGATCGTGGGCGACTTCTCGTCATCGGGGGTGAAGTCCATCATTGTTAGGGAGGCGGAGGCCGCCGTCATCGGCAGGCGAAGCTTTCTCGGTAGAGTGGCTGACGGCCATGGCGAAGCTTAAAGATTAAGCTTGGCTTGAACATGTTTTAAAATCAAAAGTTAAGATTAAAAGTTTAATTTAAGATTTATTTTGAGTAAAAGTTGGTTTTTTTTAATGAAAATAAACATGTGATCAAATGCATGAGGTCTTATTATAATTCAGTGCATATTTTAATCCAAAACTTTAAAAAGCAATCTTGCTGTTGATAATTTCTTACCCTATTGGCAGGGAATTTCAAGAGATATTTAGGCAATATGTCATGATTTTTAAAGTTGGAGTAACTTTTATTATAAGTATTAAAATTATTACAAAATATATCATAATGACATTATTTAAATTTTGTTTATCGAGTAAAATTATGCTTGTATTTTTGTGTATTTGATTCATTATATTTGAATTTTGACAGAGTTTTGTGGTTTTTCACATATATATTTATGATATTTATAAATTTTATGATTTTTAAATATTTTTAGTTGTAACATTCTCAATAATATTTTATGGTTTTAACATATGTCAATTTAAGGGGATGCTTATTTTTTGTATTTATCTCTGATTTTGAATCATGATTTATGATTCTTTACCGTATTTTTTTATCACAAAAAATACACATAAAATAAAAATAATTCTGAATTTATAATCAAATGTCCACTAAGTCTAAAATTTGTGACGTTCCTGTAAGGTGCTCGAATTTCAAGACCCTTCACCGTAGACATTCCAATACCGTGATGTGATTTAGGAGTTGTTTGGTTGGAAAATTCGTATCCTGATTTGAATCATAGTTTATAATTTTTTATAATATTTTCTCTCATAAATAATATATATAAATAAAAAATAATTATAATCTCATAATTCTAATTTATGAAATAATATTTTCTCTCATAAATAATATATATAAATAAAAAATAATTATAATCTCATAATTCTAATTTATGAACTATACGTCTGTTAGTTTCCTTTAGTTTCCTTGGACGGCTAGGATATCCTATCGGCTAATACCGCAATCTATCTGTTTACTTTAGGACAGCTCGGTTAGATAACGGAGCTCACTTACCGTTACGAGTACCGTGGCGACATAAAAAATTGAAAAAAAAAAAAAAGTTGTTTTCTGTCGCAGTAGCCCGCGTATTCCATCACTCCAAGAGGCGAGGCTTCCCGGTAATTGTGACAGAAATCGCGAATCAAATCAGCCATTGAAGCAACGATGCAAGGAGGATCATCGGGCATCGGATATGGTCTCAAATACCAGGTCCATAAACCCCCGTTCCAAATCTGAATTTAGTCCCCTAGATCTCTTCGATTTTTGATTTTCGATTTTGGTTTCCAGGCTAGATGTATATCCGACGTAAGAGCCGACACAGATCACACCAGTTTTCTCACCGGCACTCTCAGTCTCAAAGAAGAAAACGAGGTTGATTTCAATTCATTGTCGTCTTGATTCGGAATTGGGGATTGTTTCTTACAGTTTTTGTTGGATCTGAGTCTAATGGAGTTGGATTTTCAGGTGCATTTGATTCGGCTTTCTTCTGGTGGAACCGAGCTCGTCTGCGAGGGCTTGTTTTCACACCCGAACGAGATCTGGGATCTCGCTTCCTGTCCCTTCGACCAGCGAATCTTCTCCACCGTCTACTCTACTGGTAATTGATGGGTTTTAAGCTTTTGAATTATTCATTAATGCCTATGCATTTTCCATTTTGTGCAATTTTGTAGTGCGATTAACTATTTAATACATATTAGTTTCTTCCAAAACGAATGAAGTAGGATTAGTCATCATTTGTCTGTCTTGTCTTTGTCATTTTGTCTGTCTAGTTCTTAAGTTACCTTTTGGATGGATAGAAGTTATCGGAAGA